TATGACTGATTTTACTTAATTTCAGTGTTGAAGTTTAGTGTTTTTTGAATCGTGACCGTCAATAAATACACTAAAAATTATTTATTAGGGTTAACGTTAAGGCTATTCTGCTATACTGTATGCTTTACATGTTGACAAGACTGAATGAACTAGTTTACACATGATCAGAATTCATTGATATGCTTGTTGTGCAAATTAGGCTGCTAATATCACTGCAACCCTTCCAATGAATTGATTTAATTATTTATGTTTACAGATGGAGAAAAAGGATGAGTGTGTAGCAGTGCAAAACACATTATTATTTTTTATATGAAATGTTTCTCTGTAAAATGTATTTGTTGTAGGCTACACATTTGATTTTGTTTTCTTTCAGTCCTTTTTTTGTTGAGCGAGTGATCAGCAAGACTCACTGTCGGTGCAATTCCTTGTGGTGACTTCATCACCCCTAATCCTGTCAGCAGATGTTGACATCGATATGCCACAACAAGTTCGCATTATGGTTGTTACGTTGCCTCACACAAATATGCAATCAATATGCTTATTAGACAGTTTATAAAATTAGCTTTAGGACAAACGACGAGATTTAATAGCTGATATCATGCATTCAGCTGTTAGACCTATATGTATTTTTCACTAGAGGTTAGCTTTGTTTTTTATAGCATGCACTATAAAGCTTATCAAATGTGACCTAATTATTATTAGGCTTATTATTTACACTCAGCTACTACACCTACAGTTATGTGTTTTACATTAGATGGTAATTTTTTTATAGCCTGCACTAAGATTATTATCAAACGTAGTTGTTATTATTAGGCCTATTAGTATTATTATTTATTAAACGTTTAGGCCAAGTAGACAAAGGTATCTAGACCAAATTTATGTCCATCGGGTTTGTTTATATGGAGATGCTTGTAATGTACAAATATGGCATAGGCCTACCTAATATCGTATCCTGTAATAAATTGGTTTACGATTAATACAGAAATAACGCAGTGTCTTTAGCTGTTTATGGCTGAATGTTTATGGTTACAGGAATTAGCTTTAGCCTATAACTTTCCGTGAATCTAATGAAAATACTTATCATTCTTCATAATCATACCTTATATTCAGGCACAGGTGATGTTGGCTTATTTTTACATAAAGGGGCACACAGGTTTTACGATTAAATAATCTTTCGTTGCGGCGTTAAAGTCTGTTACAAATGTCAAACAGACAGGGTGAAATAGACGACGTGTTTTTGTTTAGTTTTTTTTCTTTCAAGGGCAGGGATGCTCCAGATCCCGATTCCTAATAGGACAAGTTTGCCTGTGGCACGACTTCTCTATTGCGCAAAGACTTGTGGGTAACTAACTCAGGGGCAGGCACATACACATGCAGATATGACACGGCAAGGTGAAAGGTTATTTCAGCCCACCCCCAACCAGCTCGTTCTGTAAATCAAGATTGCATGTACCAACTCATACGTTCAACAAGAAGAATGTGTTTGAGATGCGAATGAACTATTTATAGCCCATAATTGAAACGACAATAACACTTAAATGTTTTTAATGTTTGATTTTAAAAGCGTGTATTTATTTTAGTTAAACGGAGTTGTTTAGAGCGAGTTCAAGCGTCTCATGATTTTTATGGACGCGATAGAAACATTGGGCTTACAGGCTTGGAGCTGTCCTGAGTATAGCCTACACGTGTGTGTGAAAGAGATGGGTTGTGTTAATCGCTATTTAAACTGTTATTTGATGATGTTGACGTTGTTTCATACGTGAACTACATCACCTTGAAAGAAGCTTATAGACAATAATAATTTATCGGAGTAGTTGCGCAATAAGTTTTGATTGTATTAAAACTTTAACAGGATATATCTACTTCCTCTGTGATTTTATGTTGGTTATGCAAATTTTTAGTGAATGAAAATAAACTATTGTACTAAAATGTAATGTTCAAACTGGCATAATGCCATTAAATAAATATTACACTCTCGTCAGAAATCGCTAAAACACTAAAGCTACCCCGTCTAAATTTACAACACAACTTTAAACCAAAAGAAATGTGTTCTTTGTTCTCCTATTGTTAGCTAAAGCACGACGAACAAACGTCCTCTTACCTCACACTCTCTAAAGTAAGAATCTTCTTCATCAAACTTAGAGCTCACGATCCTTTGCGAAAAGTAAGCGCACATTTGATTGCTTTAACTTGATGAAAAATAATTGCAATGCGCTTTTATTAGTCACCGGACGTCTTTCCCATGCTGTTTGAGGCTCCGCGCACGTTGTTGTGAGGTAGCCCATGCGGACCCCCACTTGGTGAGTCCGTCACGTTTTCGGATCCAGGGCCCATCCTGGTTTCGCTGCATAAATGAGTCAAATTTAAAACTGTCCCAGAGAGATGTTAGAACCAATCAAATAGTAAATGTAATAAATTCGTGATTACAAAAAAATACGCTTGTGAACTCAACACAGTTTATCATATCAATTTTTTTAAAATGTGGAAAAAGTCAGAAACCAGTTGCTTGTTTAAATATCTAGGCTAAAGTTGTATATAAATATTTAACGCTTATCACCACATTAATTTACTGACTTCTGTCCTATTGTTTTGTTTTTTGTTTTTTTTTTTTGCTCAAAATTAAATTGAGTGGGTTTGTTGTCAGATTAACTGAATGTTGTAGGATGTAGCCATGTTTAAATGATTTACTTGCATGCCATGCAAAATATGGTATAGCCTAAATTAAACACATACAAACAGGCTATAAGCCTATATAAATGTTTTCAACGCTATTCCAGTAAATTGGATTTATTGGATGTAATAAATGCAAAAGTTGTGCGCGTTCATTCACGGATCACTGGATAATCTTAATTAACGTGATTTTTTTTTACAAAAAGTGATTAAGTTTGAAATAAGTAGACTTAAAACAAGACAGCAAAAATTTCTTCAAACCTCTCAACTCTTCACCTACGACGATGAATGCACACTGGGTCGAAGATCAATCATTATCACTCATGTCACAATTGAGGGCTGTTCAAGCTGTGAGGTTTCAGAATCAAAGGACCGGGACCTGCGTGTTGTCTTTCAAATGATGTGTGCCCCTTGGAAAAAAGTTCAGTGGAGGTTGGGATAAAAATTGACTGTTAACAGTGCTACTGTAGAACATTCAAATGACATTTATATACTTGCGAGAGAAAAACAAAAATGTTACATGGCTTATTAATGCAAATCCAACGTTTTTTAGAGAATGCCTAGGATTCATGTCAAAACATCTGTAAAACTTCAACAAAGTTTGAGTCTAAATTGTGAACAAGTGATATAATAAATATAGAGCTTAAATAAAACGATCTTATAAATCTATAAATTTAGCAGGCTTACGCTTATTTTGTAGATATGTAACGTATATTTGCTGGCAATATTTGTCAATAAAAATCTGTGTTGTTTAAGTAGGCTATTTGCTGGTATATAAACAATTTGTTTGTCCGTTTGTTAGACCAAGCAGTTGTACCAGGAGCTGTTACGAATTGCCGTGAGATTGTGTTGGCACTACTCAACGCTGGAAGGATTAACAGGAGTGTAACTGCTCGTGCTCTGAATCAACAGGAGACTCTTTTGGAAAGGTATAGCCTGGAGGATACACACTCCCTTGAAAATCTTTATAAACTCGAGTTTATTTACGTTGCCACCTTCTGCCCGTCGAGTGTGGTGAGGAAGTGTACATTATTACAAATACCGATGTTGAATTTTGCACTAAATGGTGCAATGGTGGTGGTTAACACTATCCATTTTCACTGTGCATAGCACTCTGCACGCATTAATCAGGTAAAAGTGGACGCAATAACGCGGCAACAAGCTAGCACTTACAACAATGACTCATCAATTGCTGATGGCCAAGAGGGTTTAGTATTCTGACTCTTCTGCTTTTTCAAAATATTCAATGTGTTAAGGGTGGTAGCAACGACAATACATTTGCATTCAAATTTTGGAATGATTTAAGCTGAACAAATTGATGCGTAATCTCTTTACCTTCATTGCACAATAGAACAAACATAAAGGCTGAAAAATATCAATCGCGTTTTGAGTCTAGGAAAAACGCGTGAAAAGCAAGGCCTTATACACCCGTCCTGTTTACCTGTCCTATAATATTCTTCCTCAGAAGCATGCATTCTGCCGTAAACTCAATGTAATTACTGATTGCTCTTCCAGGAGTATGTTTCCCAACATTGTACGTTTCTTAAGTAAAAACGAGTGCGTTTGCATTTAAGAATAACGGAAGAATGTAGTTCCACATAATGCAATGCCTGACAAAATTGCATTCGGTTGTGGTTTACTTTTTTCTATTCATTCTCTTTCTTCGCCAGTAAAACGGCATATGTCTGTACACTGACACAAACGGGGGAGGGGGAAGTCTTTACTTGTGAAGACCCGTTATTTTCTCTTTCACGTTAGTAGGAAGTGGGATGTAGGCCTGCCTGATCTGTGAAAAAAAAGCTCGACCACAAAAAAGTCTGATTTAATAATCTTTCTGACTGACAGATAATAATACAGTGCAGTTTTTGTTTTGTTTCTTAGTATTTTACCGTGTAGTTTGCTTTTTCACCTGCAGACTTACAAATCCTTCCGTTTTTGTATATTTCATTATTTGCTCATATCTTTCTTATAGCTTGATTCATGAGTTTTAATTTTAAATATGGATTGCTTGATTCATGAGTTTTAATTTAAATATGGATCAATTGTCAAGTCGGAAAAGTCATGATCTACACGCATTTAAGCTACGTTCGCACACACATTGTGGTGTATGCTATATCTCATTGATACATCATATCCCGTCAAAGAAATATAAAATAAACACTATAAACAAATGTATTTTCATCTGAAAACAAACGACCTTGATGTTGGTAAATTGCGACCATTTTTGATTTGGTTTTTAACTTGCCAACCCATTCCTGGTTTTGTTTTAATTTTTTAGGTAAAATGTTCGTTTAAACTAATATACTGTAAAAGCATATATATGCTGAACATATAAAGTGGTGTGAAACGCTTTTAAAAGGAAACGTGATACCGAAAACAGAAGTCTGTTTAATTTGTCTAAATACAATTTAATTTGTCTACATAAAAAATATTAACCTGCGCATATGATGAGTCAGACGAACTCATCTGTCAGCATCGATAATTTTTCACAAACATAACAACACAATATTTTAAAAAAATACTTTAACAAAATGACGAGTATTAATTTATAAGCATGAACTTATCACGAGCAAATTATTTGCTCTAAGAGAGGTGGGATTACAACAATATGTTAATTTGCTTGGTGGTGGGGGTGGGGGTGGCCAGGGGTGGAATATCCATTTTTATTGCATCACCTGTCAGTAACGTCCAATCAGCTTCGACTTTGGGGGCATTAATTGATGAAGGTGTCTCCGGCCTTGCTCAGTTCCCACTGTCATTTTATTTGCGACTAAACCAGCAACGGGAATAGCAGCTGCATTTTGGGCTCTATTTCTCTCTCTTCCCCTCTCTCTCTCTCTCCTTGCTCTCTCTTTCTCCCTCTCTCACTCTGTCGCTCACTCCCTCTCCTTTTCCCTTCCATACTCTCGTCGCTTTTTATCCTTCTCACTGGCAGTGCTATTCACCTTCCTCTTTTCCTCATGGCCAAATGGGAAGGGAGCTGAGGGAGCGCAGGTATAGGAGCTCAGACAGGCAGCAGCCAGCCTGTCGGCAACATCACACACATTCCATCGATCATGCAGTGCTCAGGTCAATGGACTGATTGTTTTAATTCAAACAGGCCATTTTGCTTTTTATTTTTCTATTTAGACTAGAACTTTTTGTTCATCACGCAGTGTGGACATGTCACAGGCCATGCTGAACCGGTAAGCTGAATGCCTTGAAATAAAGAAGCATCAGTAAAGCTTTAAGGACAACCATCGCGCTAAATGTTGGAATTAATGCAATGAAGAAAATGGGGGACTTGGAATCCGGTTTTGAGGAAATGCAGGGTGTTAAGCTTGGCTATTTGATTATCAAAGGCAAACAAATGTTTGCTCTCTCTCAAGTCTTCACCGACCTCTTGAAAAATATCCCGCGGACTACTGTACACAAACGAATGGACCATTTAAACGTGAAGAAGCATCACTGTGACCTGGAGGAACTACGAAAGCTCAAAGCAATAAATTCTATAGCTTTCCACGCAGCTAAATGCACTCTTATTTCAAGAGAGGACGTTGAGGCACTGTATTTTTCATGTAAAACTGAGCGCGTATTGAAATCAAACAAAAGAAGGGATAAGACAAAAACTTCCTCAGAGAAAATGTGCGACGGGAAAAATTACACATCTGCCAAAAGTGACTTTTGGAGAGAGAAAGTTTGGCTAAGTTTGCATGGCGTTCCACAGACGTTCTCATTCAAAAATAAAGCTGTTCGACAAGATCCTGTTTCTCGCAGTCACTCAAATCTACCTCAAATTTATAGCAAATCCTTCGCCCGTGACTTTCAACCGGTGGCGAAGTCGGCATCTACACCTTTTAAAAACTATGAAACAGATCAAATACCTGACAACTATGTGGCTTTTAATCAGAAACACACGTTTATTCGGCACGTTGTAAATCGGCAGCCGCTGCTCTATCAGTCCGCCATTGCAGCGCCGGCAAAGCACCAAGGCAACGCAGACCTACTTTACAAAAGGAAGAGGAAGCGCGAGAGCAGCGCGAGGCAGCTCTGGTCGAGAAGCAGACGCAGTCATCCGGTTTTGGTCGTCCCGAAGTGTTGTAAGCCAAAAGTTTCTAACGGATCTTTGAGCCAGTTTCACCACCTCGAACATGGATTTTACGTCGATCCTCGGAACACTGTGCATTTTCAGGAAAGCTGTAGCAGCGACACGGAATCTAGCACCATCTCAGAACGGGTGAACAACGATTCGGATTTCGGGTCGAGTTTTTCTACCACCAGCAACTCCGGGACTTCAGACGAGGAGGAGGAGGATGACTCTCTGTCGGATTCTTCAGATGTCAGTAGCGACGAGGAGAGCTCATCTCAGTCTGAATCGAGCTCTGTGTCAAGTCAAGTTTCAGTGCAGAGTATTCGTTTCAGGCGTGCAAGGTTCTCGAGTATCAACACAAAAGCACCTCTGCTGTTGCAGCCAACATTTCACTACAGGCCTAATGTGCAGACCATAGCTACTAACCAGGATTTAACGACTACTCTGGATTGCGAAAGAACTGGCAAAACTCAGAAATCGGACTTCGGTGACGCACACGAGAATGGTGATGCCGCAAATAATGTGCAGAAGTTCTGCTCAGTGCGGACCTGCTTTCCAGATTTGCGAGAAAAGGAGGATTCCGAAGCACCCTTGCGCCTTGAAGTTTCAAATGATCCAAAGACAACAGATTCTAACAAAATTAAGGAGATCAGGCTCACACCCAATACACTTGGGAACAAGGCGTTTCCCCAACAAAGAATACCGGCTTCTGCAAACAAATGCTCCCAAGGCTTGATCTCCCACTGTGTTCCGGACAAAGAAATAACGGTTTGTAAGTCTTCTGACAGCAATCTTTCATTAGTAGCAAATTTCAAGAGGGAAGTAAAAACTTCCCTCAAACTGCCTTCACCTATAAAACATATCAAAACTGAGGCCGAGGAGCTCATCAACAATGAGGGCAACAGGGCAGTAAAAACGCCACCATTTTTACTCAACAACGTGAAGATTAAAGTCGAGGACATCTTTGACGATTATGAATATGCAAAACAGCCCCCGGAGTATCAATGTAAGGATAATGACGCTGATGGCCAGTGCATCAGCGATCCTTTCAAGGAAACTGACCACTGGAAAGCCGCGGAGAGCTCTGGTCAAAAACACCCTGCCTGTAACGAGGAATCAAAAAGCACTTTAAACGCCCGTTGCTCTGAAGAAGAGGAATGCAAGAACGGTGTAAGAGTCCGGAAAAACTACAGGTCACTTCTTCTGGGTAAAAAAGCCGAAAGTGCGAGGACATCTGCGAAATCAGCTTCAAAAGTTGACCGGAGCTCCCGTTCTGCTGGAAAATTCGCTAGCAGTGAAATATCGAGTGGAGACTGTGCTGGCACGAGCAAACGCAAACGGGCAAGTGCCAGTGTAGCATCTCTGAAAAAGCCCTTCAGGTTCATGGCGAATTTTCCCTCTCCACCGGCCCTTCTTATTGGCAACGATGGAGATTTGAGTCCCGCTTACTCTTTGAACTCTTCAAGAAGTAACCAACTGCCTCCTCGTTCTCACCCAGTTTGGAGATGGCAGCTCGGTCACTCAGTTGTTCCTCCCCCTCCAAGCCACAAATTCAGGAAAGCCTCTGTTATCCCTTGAACTGTTGTTTTTTTTTAGCTCGGGGAAATGTCTTAAAAATGTGACAAGCACTGATACCCGTTAGTTGTTTTGTTTTCATTGTTGTTTCAATGCATACGTTTCTGGCCTGCTGTTATGTATAGCACACACGTTGTCATCATATCTTGCAGGCTGGTTTTATGCACGGAGGTTCAGAACTCGGGAATATACAGAGGTATTAATAAGCTGATATAGGGGGAAAGAAATTATGACTGTTTTTGACCTGATTGAGACTTACAGAGCAAATGTTGGCTTATTTTACAGGCAGGGTTAGCCATCTCTCGTAAGGATGGCATTATGTGATTATCAGGTCTGTCAACTAAAATGCTGATTTTTGTTTTTGAAACCTCTTTGTCGGTATATTTTGGGCCAATTTTTTGTACTTCCCCTTCATGCTTCATCCACATACTGTATTTCTGAATTACTGTAGCCCGATGATCTATACCCTTCTTATTTATTCATTTTAAGGGTGCTCCCCAATTGTTGGCGTCTGGCTGTGTCACTCACACGCGGCACACCATGACTCCCACGGTAGGCCCACCACAATGGCCCTCTAACTGACAATCAAGAGCTGTTTGATTTGCACGATGTAATAGAGGGAAAACACCAAGTCAAACTCCTTCTGTAGCACATTAGCTAAAGGTATAGAACGGTTAAAGCACAAATTTACCATGCATTGCACTTTGCTAATGCCTATTAATGTGGATTAGTGATGTGTTTTTATTTCTAGTCTTACGCAAAAGAGCCATCGCAAGTTACCCCAAAACATTTTTAAATAAGTACAAATTAACTTGGTGCTTTTCATTTTTTCTTGTTTGATTTTGAGAGTTTTTTTAGTCGTTTTATTATAAATGTTGCGGTTTAATCGCGGAGACATGTACCGATAAATGCTTGCGTTGGTCTTCACACGTAACGAAATCAAAGAAAAACCTCGGTGCTTAGTGGAATGCACACATTCTGTTCAGGGTATGCTAAGTAAATGTTTATTTCTGTTTGACTCAAGTAGCCTTGTCTTTTTCGTATGTTGTTTTGATTGTGTTTTTCCTAACTAGGCCTATTTTCCAAGCATATGAATTGCCTTGGTACTCGAAAGAGAGTAAACTTAAAAAAACATTCAAGTGCTAACTTTGTGTTCCACTAGAGTACCTTGCTCCATAATGCCTTGTGATGAATGTACTGTAACGTACCACATTTGTTAACTTCAGCAAAAGCAGACTGCCTCAAAAGCAGGTCTTTAAACGCAAAATATGTGATTGGATTAGCCAGTAAACTACATTAATATTTTATTTTATTTTATTGCTAAGTAGTGAACATGTTCAACTGCATTCTAATTTCACACACACACACACACACACACACACACACACACACACACACACACACACACACACACACACACACACACACACACACACACACACACACAAGTACAAAGCCTGTGAGTTATCAATGAATAGGCAAAGACTATGCAGATTTGGCTAAAGGGAGGCTACAGGTTCACGTCAATCTCTGGAAAACGCGTAAGAAACTTAAAGGGTATATAGGCCTAAAACGTATTAAGGCATGGGCCCTTTACGTGTAATGTGTTTTGAATAACGTGTACAATTCGGGATATACCTGGATATACACCATGTAGCCTATTAAGTGAAACTGATTTGCTTTGTGAATGTTCCAATGTGCGATATAGTGCGACACTCTGACAGGTGAATAATTAAAAATAGTGGTTCTATATTTTTGTAACGCGTCTATTTAATGCCCGCTCTCTTGAGCGTATTAAAGGAACTTTCTGTTCCATTCTGTGTCAAAGTGCACAGCGGATTGACTGAATTGCAATGCCGTCCCATCTTCCGAGGACTTAATTAAAAACAAGCCAAATTAAACAGAATGTAGCGGCCCTATTGAGTTTCATAATCTTTACAATGAACAGAAATGGGCGAATGGGCGGTGACTCAATGTTATCATGATGGGCTATATCTGGTCATGGAGGGCTTTGTTATCTCTCTGTTTTTACCACAATACTTGAGGTCAGATTTTGACATGATTTTTTTCTTCAACTTAAGTCACTGGTTGTTCATAAAAATGCATATTTATTTTTGTGATTTTTCCTGTTTTTGTATACCATTGTTGTGTAGGATAAATGCACTCGAAATGAAAACTTGAAAACGTGAGGTGGATTTTGAAGCACTTTCTTTCTTTTTATGGTGAAAATGTTCATTAAATACATCTGAGTGTGATATGAAATGATCATCGTTCATTTAATTGCTATTTATTGTTATTATAATTTTTATAATTATAATTTTCAGTGTTCAGGTTAATTCTTGTGGTGTTATGTGGTTCAGGCAAATGTAAGGTCAAACTTTAAGTTGTTTATTGTAAAGATAAATGTTGGTGGGAGAGTCTTTGAAAAAATGCATGCTCTCTGTGTGCTCAGACAAGAGCGCGCAAAGGTAAGCTATGATAACAGAGAAAAGCGAGTACGTCTATCAAAAAACAGTACATTTCAAATTAAGACGTCTACTATCTTGTAATACCATGTCATACATCGTAAAACAGTCTAATATGTATGTGAGAAGGAAAAAATGCAGAATAATGTTTCTGGTTTAGTTTTTAGATACAACTTTAAAAATATTACGATAGACTACAGATTAGATTATTTTATCCAAACCGAGCTAAACAGAGGAGCAGGGGGAAGAAAAGAAGGACAAAGCTTCATTTTTGGAAAAAAAGAAGAAAAAAAAACACAAATACTATACTATAAAGGCGCGAACAGAATATGCATCGCAACAGAGTTCCTTATCAATGGTGAAAAATAAGATAGAAATTAAACCTGGTGATTTTTACACACGAAGTCATATGATAAACTAGTGGCTGTAGCCACTTATTAGTAGACCTTAAGAAAAAGGGAATATACTTTTGCACGTATTGTATTCTAAGATAACCAGAATATACTCCAGCATTAACAAGTCTGTTTTTTTTTTTTTTGTTGTTGTTGTTTTTTGAGGATTTGTACTTTTCTGTAGCATACGGTTGTGTTTGGAATCATGTTTGTTTAATTTCAGGTCTTTAGGCCAAAAAGACAACACAAAACAAAATAATGATAACAACAATAATAAAATATACTAATAATAGTACTATATTAGTAATAATACTCATAATTGAAATACAATAATGTTGCAACATCAGTAAATAAATATTTTACAGCTAAAATATACGTTGATGCTTTCATACACAGCTGTTTCGTCTACAAGAAAATCAGCCCTCCCCAAAACAGTTTAAGGCAATAAATCTGTCACACAATAGAAATACACGGTAGCGGTAGGACTAAGTTCTTTAGTAATCTTGTGAAGTGTGTATATAGCCTAATGTGTAAGGACTTCAATGACAATACTGGTGTAAAATGTATTTTCATTAGTCAACAATATTGTCATAAATTATATGTAGCTTATGTACAAAAATGCCTGTCAGATTTACACATCACCACCTGCGCTGCTTTAACCAACGCAGACATATCACGAGCTTATGTTAGATACATACCGAGAAATTAGAAATGGTAATGAACTAATATAGCAAGGCGAACACACTGCACAGCGAGACGGATCCTATACAGCTAACGTTGGCCTATACTGGCTGGCTGGCTGATTCTGAGGCCTGATTTCATCGAAAGGACTCGAGGCGTCATTCACAGAAATCAACACGCCTCCAGTAGTCTATATAACAGGAAAATATATTTCTGTCTTTTAACAAGTTTCTGCCTAAACTGTCGTTGATCTGCACTCTGGGATAAAGAAAAGTAATTTGCGGATAAAGTATATATTTTAATTATTATTATTTTTTTATAAATGTAAGAATTTTTATTTTAATTGCGTTCACCTTGAAAAAGTATAGGCCTATTCATTTGGCAATAAACAGCAAATATTGGTTTATCGCAAACCGTAACTATTAAATCACTAATGCAATTACAAAAATATTCTTATTTAGACACGTGGTTTAACCAACAGGATAAGCGCCCTCGTGGAAGCTTCTTTTGTAATGGGATCAGGACGTGGGAGGAAAATGCTGTTATGTGCCCAGCAAAAAACAACAACAACAACTCATCACCATGTTGTTAATCCCACAACAAAAACACTAGTTCGAGCTATCGGTGTTTAATGCCATACTCCACCGAGTTACTCAAAACCGTCTTTAAACAAGCTTGTATGTGTGTGTTAGTGTAAGGGAGTGAGAACAGCAGTTTTTTTTTAAAATAAAATTGTATGTTATGGATCAGTAGCATGTTTTCTAAATCCGTTACCAAAATAGATTATTTAAGGAGGAACATATTAAGAAAAGTGAAAACAAAATTAAATTTTTATAGACCTATTGCAGGATTATTATCAAGGCGATTCTAAACCAGCTATCAAAATAGTTTAGTTAAGGAGGAAACGTGATGGCGTTTAAAGCAATGACGTATTCACATATCTTTAATTCTGCTTGATTGCATAATGTTTCCAAAATTAGATTATGATATAGAAGAGCCATCATGGGTTCCTCTAAGAATTTCCCATTAAATCATTTTTAAAATAACTGTCTTTGCTACATTTTAATGATCTAATAAAAAGTATGCACATAAGAACAATTTGCGCAATTAAAAGGTTTTGTGGGTGTTAAAGGTTCTTGGTGGGACAATCGAGGTCAATAAAGAACATTTTAAGAGGTCCTCATCGGCCTCATGGCAAGAGATTCCTACGTTATCTGCATAAACTGAATGCATATTCTGAAAGGACCTGCCCCCACACAAACTCTGAAGAGGATACTGCTTTTCTGCTTAAGACAAAATATACATTGTGTTTAAATTCTGTTCTGCCTGATCATCAGTCATTATTCTCTGAATACGAACGCTGTTGAAAACGCAGTCAGTTCTTTAACCACAGAGTGAATCTGAGCGTTTTCAGCAGTTTCAACGATTGTCAGTAGTCATCAAGTTTATTTACTCAAAACATCTTTAATTAATAATTTGCTTCTTTTAACAATATAATTAGAAAAAAGAAATGACCATTTGACCCGTGCGTTAATCCTCAATCCACGAGTTAATTTTTTTTAAAATCTTTTTTCATTCAACGCTCCAGAAACTGTCAATTTGTAAATAGTTGATTTTTAACAACTTTTTTATTGTACTCGTAGACTTCTGATTTTCTATAAAAAAAAATCAATGAAAAATAGGCCTAGACCTGAACTCTTAAAGGGTTTATATGATCTTGCCGGTAAAATTCTATCCGAAATAGTTATTTAAAAAGGAAGATGTAGGCCTAAAGTGCACTTGCACCACATAGAAATTAAAATTAGGATTGGGATAAAAGCATTGCACGTTTAATTGACCCGTTTTTAAACAATAAATACGCTGTCATATTAGAAGACGTTTAGGGTTGTAAGTGGATTTCGTATAAAATGTTTTAGACCAATTTTGCTATTGCGACTGGTAAGGTAAAAATAGCCTGAAGTCATAAGGTCAAATATTGTCTTTTGCGTTTTAATGGATGCATGTTTGAGGACGATGGTTGATAAATGAACTTAAACGAGAACGATAATTCACCCAAAACAAAATGGTGTTTGAAACCTGCTGCGTGTCCTGCTTTTAAAGCTCTTTAACTATTTTAAGGACAAGTATTACAGTATATTTCATGCGTCAAGGACTTAGTGATAGTTTTAGTGAAAGAATTAGTGACTAGTTTGTCTAAAGCGAAACAAAGCATTAATTCCAGTTCTACCATGACCACCTTTGATCGTCTTTTTTCCAGAAACACTTGTAAAAACAAGCACTGATCTAAAACAATCTCCCAAAACACTTGTTCATTGGGTGACGTGCGTCTTTCATAACACTGATGAAAAATTGTGCTGTGAGTCAGTAATATATTCCGCTTTTCAGCCAGACCTTCATAATTGACCATTCCAAACAGACCACACGTTAGAAGTTCACCGTTCAAACACATAAGCGGAGAGGTTTATTCACGGTAAATAAATACAACACTTGAGTAACCGCACAACGTAATCTTACACTTGATTTCATTGCAACGTGTATTTAAGTTGAGCATTTCTGTTAAAATGACCAGTTTGTTAGGGACATGTATAATTTAACCGATTCCAATAAAGTGCTCAAGCAAATGAATTTATTTTTTCCACATTTAAAACAGAACAGCCTTCCAAAAAAAAAAAAAAAAAATCACCTGTTCCTCCCTGGATGTCAGCAAACCAAATCGATTAACCATTTAACCCGTCGCACTTCGCCTGGCTCTTCAAAATCTTTAGATGCAGGTGGATTTGTTAATCAGAAAACAACAACGTTTTATTTGTCAAAAATTATCCGTATAAAAAAGAAAAGAAATCCCTAGCCTACAACTATTCTGAACTGCAGCCACATGGTCCAGTCGTTTCTCGCACAGCAGGCTACGACAGTATAGCCTTTATTCCGTTCGTTTCTTTTGGTCTGTATTGTTGGTCAATTTTTTTTTACATGTGAATTTCTGTTTAAAGCTTGGATGTATGTTTATGCATACATTAATGCCGAACGCGAATTGCTGTTAGGCATTTTCACAGCGGTGCGAAATATCAGCCAGAAATAATTCAAATCCTTGATATACCGACTAATGTTGGCACAAATCACTGCTTTAATAAAGCCTAAAGATGTGTCTTTGAACGGTGCAAAAGTAAAAAAACAACGAAAAAAGACCAATATGCTTGTTTCATTTCGCTGAAGCGTGTGTAGCATGCCATTTGTTGTATTTAACGATAATATTAATATTATTTAAGCTAATGTCGGCTTTTAACTTCCCTTTACCTATACAAAATTTGACTAAAGACGTCTTATACTGTAAACATGTAATATAGAACAGTTGTGGGAAAAGCCGATGCCGAAGAGACGAAATGGTTGGTGTAGCCAATGTGAGGGTGGGAATAAGCACGTAAAACAGTATACTTATACCTAAAAAAACTTTTCAGCCACTGCGTCGTGGGGTATACATGAACTGCGTGAACATAAATTATAAAAAACGGCCGTGGTCTCGACGTGTTTGAGTAAGAACAGAAGCGCAAGTGACAGTTCGTCTCGTCGAGCGCATCGTCATTACACGTGCATTTGGCGCCCTCGCTCGGGCAGGAACGTGTGGATATCTTTTCTCTTAAAGGGGAGGACAAAAGGATTTAAGGTGGAACGAACAAATCACACCAAGCGATCTTGACCCTGGCAAACAATGGTATAAATTAAATAC